GACTGAGGTAATAGGAAAGCGATAGAGCAAAACTCCACACTACAGAGAAAGGGGAAACCCTGAGAACAGAATATAAACTGAGCAGGACAGATACAATAGGGCAAAAAAAGAAAAAAAAGAGAGAGAGAGAAATTTCTCCAGTGAAAGTGGGAGTGCTGAAAAAAGCTGATTTCTAAAAGTAAAAGGATAACATTTCTTTTTATCACTCTGTGAAAATAACTGAAAGAATAGTCTAGAGCTAGAAAAGCTGTTTTATCAGCCACCTTCCTTTTTTGACTGTAGAAAAAATAATTTCACCGATACATGAAAAATAGAAAAGGACCATGGTCAAAACCCACAAGGTAAAAAAAAAAAACAAAAACCCAGTGATCAAAACAATGGCTCTTAAAAAAATAAAGGTATTTAAAAAAAATTCAAACTGTACATTAGTATTTTGAAACAAACTAAAATAGTTTATGAAAAGAAGAGAAGTCTTGGAAGAAAAACACGTATCAGAATTTAGAAAAACTCATAAATTAAAATCTTAAAAACATCTAAATGCAATGAAGAAAGATATTAAAGAGATAGAGAGAAAGGGATATAAAAGATAGGAAATGATTCATTATTTGTACAGTAGGAGTGTCCTATGATAAAAAACAAGTTAATAAAACAAGAAAAAAATAAAAATGTAGAATTCAAGAAAAAATTTCTGAAATAAGGTTCGAATGCATATACTATGTGTAGAGGCAGAAAATGACTCAGAATAGCCAAAATGGAGACACATTCCAATAAAACTACTGAACTTTAAAGAAAAAACAGTAAATTCTTTGGAAATTCAGAAATAAAACCAACATGCATTGGAAAAGAAAACCATTTTGTCATTATACTTTTTGGCAGTGATGTTTCATGGGAGAAAAAAACGGAGTGAGATATTTAAGCTGAAGAAAGAGAAAATATGAGTCAAGGCTTTTTTTTTTTTTTTAAGATTTTATTTATTTGTGAGAGAGAGAGAGATTGAGAGCATGAGTGGGGGTAAGGGGCAGAGGGAGAGGGAGAAGCAGACGCCGCACGGAGTGTAGCCTGACCCTGGGCAATATCCCAGGACCCAGAGATCACAGCCTGAACAACCAAGAGTTGGACACTTAACTGACCGAGCCACCCAGGCGCCCGAAGTCTTTCTTTCTTTCTTTCTTTTTTTTTTTTTTTTAAGATTTTTATTTATTTATTTGACAGAGAAAGAGAGACAGCGAGAGAGGGAACACAAGCAGGGGGAGTGGGAGAGGGAGAAGCAGGCTTCCCACAGAGCAGGGAGTCTGACGCAGGGCTCGATCCCAGGACACTGGAATCATGACCTGAACCGAAGGCAGATGCTTAACGACTGAGCCACCCAGGCACCCCCCGAGGTCTTTCATATCTAGCCAAATTTATGTTCAGTTTTCAGGTCCACAGATAAACTGTCATTAATGCACAAAAATATAGGTAATGCTATTCTTGTAAGCCTACTGTGAGGAGTCTACCACAGGACAAACTGTAGACAACTAGATGACTGATTATCTTATTGATATTAACAGGAATAAAACAATATTTCTTCAAATGCGATATGTGGGAAAAGGAAGTAGATGAAGCAGAAGCATTGCTCACAGTAGGAGATACACAAACAGCCCGGGAGGCGCCAAGTGGATTATGTAAAGTAAAAGTAAGAGAACAGTCGAAGTCTGGCCTGCAGATGGTGCGGTCAAATAGAACCGAGTTGGAGTGGAGCCACACCCATTTGCTTAGCGTTGGAGAACTGCCCACCATTTTGTTTACAGACTGTATCTCCCTTCTTTTCAGCTACCACAGGACTGAGTAGTTCAACAAAGACCATACAACCCATAAAACCCAAATTTTGTGTTATTTCAGTGGTCGCATTTGGAGTATGATAGTGAATCAACGCATTATTTTGAAAACCAGGAAATAAAAGGGAAGAATCAAACATTTTTTCCTGTCTTTCCTATAGAAGGAGGACGTCAGGGTAGTCAAATATTTGATGTGGAAGAGTTTCTCTTTGTGGAAAGGTTTGGCTACTACAAACAGAAGAAATGGAAGGATGGAATCAATAGGTAGGACATGACCCCCGGTGGTGACGGCCCTCAGGAAAGGAAAGTCAGAGGGACGGGCGTGCCTCTCTGGGGAAGCAGTGGATATCACCTACAATTTATTCATTTAAAAAAACAAACTAAATCTAACCAAGTCTCTAGCTCTATCATTTTACAGGAAATAAAGGAGATAAAGAAAAATATGAAATGACCACTTAGAGGCATGCTCATTGAAACCCGGGCTTCAGAAATCTCATTTCTTGAACAAATAGACATTAAAGGGAATTAAAAGGTATGGTGGGAGGGAAGTCTATATTTTAAAAGGGACACTTGAAATACTTTTCAACCAAGTGCAATATATGGACCTTATTAGGATTCTTTTTAATATAATATTGACTGGATATTCATTGATATTGAGGAATTTTTATTAATATGGGTGGAGTAATAATGGTGTTGTGATTAAGTTTTGAGTCCTTATCTTTAAGAGATACATATTGAGATATTTGCAGATGAAATATTGTGTCTCTGATGTACTTCAAAATAATAAGGAAGGAATGGTTGAGAACACCATTGGTAAAGCTGGGTAGTTGACACTTGAAGGTTCATTATAATATTCTCTGGAATTTTATGTACATTTGAAATGTCCATACTAAAAGATCAGAATGTTTTAAAGATTCCTAGTGTCAAAGTTATGAAATGAGTTCTGAAATTGTTCTATTTTAATTATTAAATTGCATTTAAATATTAAATCCACTTACAGCATAGTTATAAAACTTACTTTGAAAATGATTTCATTAACAAATTGTTGGCAAAGAAATGGCAATAAAATATTTCTTCAATGAATCAAACCTCTTTTGTTTATTAGCTTTATTCATGTGACATATGGCAGAGCTGAAGACCATGCGGCAGCGAATTCTAAAGCAGGGATAAACCTTTAAACAATTAATTAATTAACCTAATTTACATAATGGCTTTATTTTTGCAGAGCTAATGAACTAGGGATTTATTATAGGCCATTAACAGTCATTAATAAATGAAACTGTGGTTTAAATACATGAGTTTGTATCTCAGACTCCAGAGGCAGAGGTCAGTCATGAAATGATAATAACAATATTAAAAGCAACAAGCATTAAACAAACTAGCATTTAGCTTTTAGATTTCATGTGCTTCTGAGAGGCTAAGGCACACACCTGCTAGCTGGTCGTAGCTCTCCATGCATTCTTGGGCACATGTAAGTATACAGAGGTATATTAGTGAAACTTTTATTAGCCATAGATTAGATTTACATTAAAGTACCAGGAACTAGTTGTATCATATTCACATGTGAGATATCGATATGCCTTTATTCCTAGAAATTGGAGCTATTTCCTGAAAAATGCCAAGTTCTAAGACCTAAATACTTAGCAGATTTTTCTTTCTAAATCTAACTGTTCATTTTTTTCAAAGAAAGATGACAAATATAGTTTTCAAGTAGTTTCCATGTTTTCCCTAGTTGCAATAAGCTGGTTTGCATTACATAATTTAGAGCTACTCTAACCTTTTGATTCCTGATTTAGTCAATTCAATTGACAATTTGAAGCTTCCTCTATATTTTATAAAAATATAATTGCCCATGGTTAAAGATTTTAAGAACTCAAGAAACCGTCCTGATATTTTTAAAACAATTTAATTACGCAAGTGATGAATAATCACCGAAGACAACTTAATTTCCTTAATTCCAAAAATATACCATGTATAATCTGATTTTTTTCAAATGACTTGGTTGTACCTTTCTGAGCAACTGTGCAACCCTCCACACTAGATCAGTAAGTGAGACTTGAAAGAAATAAAAAAGAAGTGATTACTTTTAGGATAATCAATTACTGCACACTGGTAGAGAAAATTCTAGGGCACATCTCTTGCCTTTTCTATCTACCTTGCTCTCCCTTCTTCCACCACCTAGGCTCTGTGGCTCTCGCTTTATACCTGTACCCTCGCTGGGGTTCTCACAGGCTCTTCATTTTCCCTCCTCCCCTTCTAAAGATGCTGATTGACGTAGTGTTGGCATAGGATGTCCAAGAAGGGCCCTGGAGTGAAAGGAGCCTGTTTCAGAGCCTGTTTCCCCCTTCATGCTCTCTCTGAGCCTCCGTTCCCTAATGGTTAAATTTAATTTGGTTTTCTCGGGTCTTCTAAATTCGAAAAAAGTTGGCGTGATTATAAAAAGATGAACTGCCTGAAGTGCAAAGGAATATTACCTCAATGGACGGAAAAGAACAGCATTTATCTTGTTACTAGTAACATCTCCCAGAATCTCTGCTCGTGCCCTTCACAAATTGGCTTTACTTGCTCTCTTATGTTGGTAAACTGTATCACACAGATGTTGGAGAACGATTCTGGAGTCAAAAGCTGTGAGCTTAAATCTCTGGGTTTTCATTTACCAACAGCATCATTTTTAAAAAGTCACTTAACCTTATCTTGTCTTTGTAAAATGGGAATAATAATTTCCATCTCCTAGAAATGGATGTGAATTAAATATAATGCCACATATAACTTACAATAAATGTTAGTTGCTCTCTTAAGATGCATTTTCCTCTGTGCTAAGAAAATCAGTTAAGTACAAGAGACCACACAATTCAAGAGAATGTCGGGCAGTCCTGTACCCATTAACAATATACACACCAGAGAGTTTGCCAGAGCTTCACAGTGGGATTAAGAATAAAGTTGATTCTAGCAATATCGTATACCCAGTTTGAAGATGGTGTGTTATTGCCTTGATATTTCAGGAGTATGAAATCACTCCCAGCACTGTCCTCTATCAGCTGTTAAAATGGATGGGCAATCAGCTCCAAGTACTACTGATCTCCCCACATTCTCTAATGATAACTTTTGGACCTATGTATTTCATCAGAAAATGAGCAGAAGCACCATAAAATCCTTCCGGAATGCTTAAGTAATATAACTTACTTTTCGAAGGGACTCGGAGATTGGCGAGGACCACTTCCAGGGAATCAGCCTGGACGCGAAGTACGTAGCTTGTCCTGGTCTCATAATCCAGGGGGGCATTCACATAGATAACACCTGTGATGTTGTTAATTCCGAACATATCTGCAATTAAAATACAGTTCTTTGGTCATTTCCTTCACACTGTAAGAAAAAAAAAAAAAGAATCCTCTTTAAAAGGCACTGTGATTTTAAAAAATACTCCTTGTAAACAGGAGTAATGCATGAAGATGACAGGATGCTGGCTTTTGGAAGCTGTGTTCCATCTCTTCAAATTATCATCAGTGTATCCTTAAATGAACACCTTAATTTTCTAGTTATGTTGAGAGTCTCCTGGAAAACAATGTTTCATCAGTCAATTAAATTTGGGAAGCACTGCACACTATATCCATCATGGTAGATTCGGATGGTCCTTTAAATACTAAAGGGCATTAGATGTTCCTGATATTTAGGGAGAAGGCATAGCAGTAAAGTAGGAACAAAGAAGAAAGTAAGAAAAGTAAGATGTCCTGCCCTTGCTACAAGGGCAGCCATTTCTAGTAATGGTTGATCACTGAAATACTTAAAAAGAGCCTTCACAGGGGCACCTGGGTGGCTCAGTCAGTTAAGCATCTGCCTTCAGCTCAGGTCATGATCCCAGGGTCCTGGGAATGAGCCCCGCATTGGGCTCTCTGCTCCGCAGGAAGCCTGCTTCTCCCTCCCCCACTCCCCCTGCTTGTGTTCCCTCTCTCACTGTGTCTCTCTCTATAAAATAAATAAAATCTTTTTTTAAAAAAGAGCCTTTATAATTTCCTTGAGAATTGCTTAATTTTATATTCATCCACTTACTAAATATTAAATATTGAACATTCATGTATTTATTAAGTGTATATTGACTATTTCTTTTTTTAAAAGATTTTATTTATTTGTTTTTGAGAGAGACATAGAGAGAGCATGAGTGTGGGGGAGGGAGGGACAGAGAGGGAGAAGCAGGCTCCCTGCCGAGCAGGGAGCCTGCTGAGGGACTTGATCCCAGGAGCCTGAGATCATGACCTGAGCTGAGGGCAGACACTCAACCGACTGAGCCACCCAGGCACCCTAAATGTATATTGACTATCTCTTGACCACTTATGACATGCCAGGCCATCCAATTTATCAAAAGGAAAAAACAGAGGACCACTAACTGTGGATAATGGTGAGAAAAAGAACAGATGAGAAATGCAGCTATGAACTTCTTCTCAGAAGCTGGCAAACCATCCTGTTCTCAGTGAAGAGTAGTTGGTAGACAAAACTCAAATTATTTATTTACTTCTAAGTTAACCACTTGAGGAATCATATTACACAATGTACATGGGTTTTATCATGGATGTGGCTCTTTGGGCATTCAAAATTATTTGCGATCCTAAAATTTCTTCAGTGTTAGCCTAGCTATGACATGGAGTAGGTCATGGATGGTCCAGAACAGTGGGAAGAGACCCCTGTAGGCAACAATCATGACCAAAACCTGAAAGTATGATGCGTTAATTTTGAAGAGATATCATTAAAATATCCCTAAATGAGGGCAAGAGGAAAGCTTCCAGAATTGGATAGTTAGTATTTCCGGTGGGGAGGGGGAGGGTCATGTTTGTTAGTATAACCAAATTTTTTAATCTGATTGAATACTTAAATTCCATTTAAGTTAGATAGGTTTTTATTAGAAAAAATAGCATAAATAATAATTCAATCTGAACTGAGTCCCAGGTCCAAGTGTTAGTTTATGGTGAAGACACAGACTGAATATCTACTCACCTTCTTCGTTTCCTGAAACTATGGAGTACACAATACTCTGGTTGATGGCCGCTGCTGAAATCACTCCAACCATAGTCCCTCTGGTGGCAAGTTCACTCACTGGAGGAGGTCTGCAGGTTAAGAGAGAGGGTTCATTTTTTGTAGTCCATTTGTCATGACAGAGTTTTGAATTTAATAATAGAATATGCTAGTTCATGTGTGAGTGCATTTATTTGAATAATACATTTTCTGAAATTTTTTTTTAAAGATTTTATTTATTTATTTGAGACAGAGAGAATGAGAGACAGAGAGCATGAGAGGGAGAAGGGTCAGAGGGAGAAGCAGACTCCCTGCCGAGCAGGGAGCCTGATGTGGGACTCGATCCCGGGACTCCAGGATCATGACCTGAGCCGAAGGCAGTCGCTTAACCGACTGAGCCACCCAGGCGCCCCATTTTCTGAAATTTTCAAAGTAGTACCACATCAAGACTCCAGCCCTAACAAACTGTGTTCACAATTATGCAAATGCTCTTGGTTGTAAAGGTCTTATCACCTGTATTATTTTGAATTTGAGGTATAATTTATTTTTGGATACTATTTTATTATCTGCCCAACATCATACAAAAATTCTTTCCACTTGTTTCTCTAAATTACCTTCTGAACTGAAAGCAATAGAAGGGGGTACAATTTGCTATCTTAATTTGTAAAGTAAAATGTTGATTTCATGCCACTGCTGTTAGCATATTTAAGCAACAGCTTCCAGATGACTCTTTCTAGTCCTTACTCTTGTGCTCCTGGGATGCTCTAACTGTACAAAAAAAGGATTTGAACAGAGGGCATCACAACACTCACATTGCTCTTGAACTCACTGATTTTGCTTACCTGTAGCCATGTTCTGCCCTCAGTACTATGATATTTATTTAATTTCCAAGTTATATTTTCAAAAACACATCTCCTTCTCAAAATCTCCATTTATCTTACAGTATTGGTCACTGCAACTAGGCTATCATAACTTTAATCCTAAATTAATGGAAATAATCTCATTTTTATAATATACAGGTGTTATATTACCCAGATCCAATAGATTTAAAAAAATCAGTGAATAGTCCAGTCAATCTGTCTAGAGCATCCCACTTCTCTAAGCTTCCACCTCTTTCCTCAAGCTGATAAGACAAACCCTACCATCATTTCCTCCACTGGCTTTTTCTTTTAATACTTACTCTCCTAATGTTCCTCCTCATTTTTTTTAAGATTTCATTTACTTTTTTTAAAAAAGATTTTATTTATTTATTTGACAGAGAGAGACACAGTGAGAGGGAACACAAGCAGGGGGAGTGGGAGAGGGAGAAGCAGGCTCCCCGCTGAGCAGGGAGCCCAATGCAGGGCTCTATCCCAGGACCCTGGGATCATGACCTGAGCTGAAGGCAGATGCTTGACTGAGCCACCCAGGCGCCCCAATTCCTCCTCATTTTTATCTGCATCCTCCCAGTTCTTCTAATTTGGATTACATTGTGCAATTGTATTGTGCCTTCACCGAACAATTTGTTATAAAATAACAAATCCTGAACTACAAACATACAGTCCAGAAAATTAATTACATACAGCTCTTTATAAACATGTCCAAATTGCTGTGTTCTTTGCCACCACAGTCCATACGCTTGGTTAAGTTACTGAAATGTAAAGCGATGTTTTACAGATGCTCTAGCACTTAATGGTGGTCCATATATTCATCGCATATTCAACAACTATTTTTTTTTGCTAAAGAATAAGAACTAATCCATATAACTTTTAGTGAAAAGGATAAAGTACGTATGTATGTACACATGTTATTTTGTTCTCCTGCATCTTTTCTGCCTTCTTTTGTTACAGCAGATAACCACACCTCCTCTATACCCCATCTAAGCAGTTTGGGTAAGGCTGCCAGAGTCTACATCCCCAAGGTGTGTAGATAGACACATTACCCATCTCTGGCCACTGGGGATGCTTTATCTTCTTTGCTCAGTGTTCATGTCTCATGTAAAAAAGTCTTGCCCAGAGATTTTCTTTTAAGTACTAGAAAAAAATTTTAATGTTGTTTTATGTTACCCTATGAGAAGGTTGACCAGGTTCTTGTTGATCATGGTACCAAAACAAATGAAATAACAAAGGTTGAAAATAGGTCCCCTATACTTTGCCTAATATTCTAAATGCTGCTATACTTGAAGCTAGGTAAGCTCATCATTTCAGTTACTGAAACAATTTGTCCTTTATTTCTCCTTTATCTAGGATTTCTACCATTTCCAACCAAAAATGTCCCCACTAATTAACAAGAACATGTTTAGATTAGAAAAGGATACCTTTGCCTAGATAGACACTTCTAAAGTAACATATCTGAGACAACAATTATATTCTCTAAGCAATTTATTTACACACTGTCACAGTGGAATACAGATGCCTTAGGTAACCTTGAGCAGAAAAGATAACAGTCTACCATAAAAAGGAAGACATTCACAAGAGTGACACTAAGGTTGGTTTTGATGGACTGCTTTGATGATGAATAGATACACTTTTGTACGGTATTTTAGATTATAAAGTAGACATTAAGACCCTGTGCTGTTTGTTGCATTGCTTAGTGATTGACTATGGTGGTTGTGAAATAGAAAACCTGGAATGGATGAAAATCAGAGAGATGGAAACAGGATAGTTTCTGAAATGGACCTCCTCCTGACATTCCAACCCTTGCGTGTTGCTCTCCTCTCGCAAGACAGCCAGACTCCAGCTTGCTTCTAATGAACAGAATACGGCAAAGAAAATGGGATGTCACCCCAGTCATTACATTACGTAAGACTGTATTCTGCAAGTTCCCTCTTGCTAGGAGACTCTAACTCTCTCCCTTGCTGGATTGAAAGAAGGGGACATATGGAATTGTCCATATGGCAAGAAACTAAAGGTGATATGATGTCTAACCACCAGGCAGCAAGCAACTGAGGCTCTCAGCCCAACATGCCACTCATAACTGATTCTACCAACTACCACACAAACTTGGAAGCAGACCCTTCTCCAATCAAGCCTCAGATGAGACACTGACCCTGGCCAACACCTTGATTCACACCTATCTGAAACAATGAAACACAGAATGCAGGTAACTGATTTCTGACCTATAGAACCTTCAAGATGATATATGTGTTGTTTTAAGTCATTAAGTTTGTAAAAATATTGTCTTGTGCAAGAGATGAGTGATACACATGGCTTGGATGTTAAGAGCAACAAATTAACTTAAGACAGATCAATATATCATACAAGTTCATTTTGATATAAGAAAATATATGTTAGCCAGATTCTGGAATCACTTTCATAAACTGAATTTCTTCTTGTGAAAGTAAACATTGCTTAAATTGTTGACTTGTTTATCTTGTTACTACTCATGAGATAAGAACTAAATTTTATACTTTCTATAATTTGTTTCTTAATCCTTATAAAGTATAGAAATAGAAAGTCTGCAGCTAATGTACCTTCAGATTTAACACCAAAAAAATGTCACTATTCATTTCAAACTTTAAAAACAACATTTAATGTATATTTTTGTACAGTTAGGATGGAAATGATCAATACTGGAAAAAGTAACTGGCAACATTATAAAAGGAATTTAAATCCTATGCATACCACTAAAAGCATTTAAAATTCTATTTGTTAGTAAATGTTTAAAACGGATTTACTTTCTAGACAAAATATCCCCTCGTTAACCTTTGTCCTAATTGTTCCAACACACTTGTTTCTACCAGAATCAAAACATACTATAAAAATGCAATTTTCTCTTGGCTAGAAATAAATGAACCTCCATGATAATGAGCATTAGATCACAAAATTTCAATTCTTTCTATTTATTGCAAGGCAGACCCAAGTTTATTTTTGTTTTACACCCTGGAAAGTGCCAGTTACATGATTGGGGCAAATTATATATTTTCTTAGGAGTCACATGTTACTCGAATACAAAATGAAAGAGCTGGTGTAAATCAGGATCTATAAAGCTGGATGACAGAGAGGACAGAGAGGTAAGGGAATGGAATGACATGGGCTGGGCATCAATTAAGAGGGAGCTCGGTGGACGGAAGGACTTGGCGAGCACTGATGCTCTATTTAATGAGGGCAACCACCATGCTATGCTGCCAATGCAGTGAGAGTTTAAAATGGGAGAAAAAAGGAAGTTCAAGTTTTTATGTGAATTCTGTGAACTTTTATATTTTGGAACCCAGTGGAAATTTATTTTTTAAGACAACATCTGACTTGGTTTGATCTATGGGCTGACAGTATGTGATTTTTAGAGTCCTGTCTGTAAGGTATTTTCTGGTCCAACTCCACTCTGAGTCTGATGTCATGTGATTTGTCATCACCCCCCCTTCTTTCTGTGGAGTACAGTCAAATCTATTGATTGATTTCAGAAGCGAAGAATTATGGCCAAAGAAAGGATTCCTCAGAAACTTCTTTTTTTTTTTTAAGATTTTATTTATTTATTTGAGAGAGAGAGAGCACATGAGAGTGGGGAGGGTCAGAGGGAGAAGCAGACCCCCTGCTGAGCAGGGAGCCCAATGTGGGACTCCATCCCGGGACTCCAGGATCATGACCTGAGCTGAAGGCAGTCGCTTAACCAACTGAGCCACCCAGGTGCCCAGAAACTTCTTTTAAAAATGTTTTTCCCTTGTTATTCATTCATATACTTACAATTCATCTACCTTATAATAAACAATACATCAATAAGCCTCTTCCAATTTAAACTTTTAACACCTCACTAAAAACAAATAGTTGTCAGGTATCTGGAATTCAGGAATTCTGCTTTTTAAAGCTAGATTTACTGCCAATATAATTGAGAAAAAGCTCCCTTCCAATAAAAGAGGCAGTTGGATCACATAAGGCTCAGGAGTGGAGCTACACGGCTTTCCTATGAATCTTTAGAGTCAAGAGATCAGCTGGGTCCCCCTCCCCAGGACAGGACTGCTAGGAGCATGCTAAGGACAGTGGTTATAGCTTCAACCAATATGGATGGAACACGGGAGCAGCTCATGGCTTCATACTTGTAAAATGCCTTCAGAGACTCTTTCATAAAGCTTGATCCAAAGTGGATTTGATGTGCATGTGCATGGACATACCCCCGATGT